GGGGGGGGGAGGGGAGAGGGAGAGGGAGGGAGGGTTGGTCTGTTACACCTACCCCAGCAAAGACTGATGGGTTACTTGTGCAAGTTGTCTTACATCTCTCTCTCTCTTTTTTTGTTTTAGTTATTTTTTTCATTACCTCAGTCTCTCTTGTAAGGGTTTAAAAAATAATACAAAAATAAGTGGTTTTATTGCTGTCAACTGAAGATCCCTTTGTGCTCTGTACTGTATAAATATATAAAACCAGGTCCCTGCCCTAAAGAACTGTGTTCTGAAGTAGACTAGAAAATGGGTAGAGAGGTCACAGCAGCTTGGAGCAGAGCCAGGGCTAGACCCCAAACTTTCTGAGTATGAGATCACCACTTGTTTGTGGGGCAAGAGGGAGGGATACCCTAGCAGGTGTTCTAGTTACTAGTGAGTACTCATCCTGGACATGTTCTGAACACTTTGAATTTTGAAAGGAAAATACTTAACCATGAAATGCTCCTTGTGCCATTTAAGTACATAAAAATATTGAGTTATGCAAGAGAGAGTTTAGAGTTGTCTATGATTTAGACAAAAAGTCTCACAGATGACATTTTTAGTAAGTGTAAGATTTTTAAGAACTTAAAATAAAAAACAACCTCCCCTACCTGAACGATTTTTTTTCTTTTTAAAATCTAGGATGGATGCAACTTTAAAGGAGCTGACAAGTTTAGTGAAAGAAGTCTATCCAGAAGCACGGAAAAAGGGAACACATTTCAATTTTGCCATTGTTTTTACAGATCTCAAAAGACCTGGTTATAGGTAAATGACTGAAGTCTTATTTGCAGTAACAGTTTATGTGCCATGCTGTATGAGAGAAGTTCTTCATAGTAACAGAGTGCATGGCAATCATTTGTTAATATTTGATTTTTTCAGTTACTATTCCTGTTTCTCTTTTCTAAAACACTAAAAAGTGTTTTCCTAAAGATGTTGGTCACTACATTATCTGCCCCCCAGAACACGTGCTTGTAGATAGGAGTGGAAACAAAAAGGCTGTTTCTTGTGGTAAGGGTAGTAACTGTATCGCCATCAAGAGTTTGCTTTTAGCACAGATATTTTTTTTTTTTTTTTTAATTAAAACTGGATAGAGACAGTTTCTATTTGAGCTCACCAGAAACCAGTTGAAAAAGCAGGGACTTGGGTCCTGCTATATTTCTTGTGTTTTTTTTTTTTTTACCAGTTCTCTTGTCTCTAACTTGCCAGGTACTTCAGGCTCTGACAGGGGAAAGCTTGATGCAACTTCATTTACTTATTTTATGTCTAGAGTTGTATCAGAGAAACAGCTAAAACTGTATTGAGGAGGGAGGCAACGTCTTTGTATCCCACTAACTGAGGAGAAACTTAACAGTTCATCCCCTTCAGGTCCTGTTTAGTCTGCAAATCTCCCTGACATTAAAAAGAGACTGACTTGCTCTTTTGTTATGTAATGAAATGACGTTTCATATTTTTCCTTCAGGGTGAAAGAAATTGGCAGTACAATGTCGGGAAGAAAGGGCACAGATGATTCCATGACGCTGCAGTCTCAGAAATTCCAGATAGGGGACTACTTGGATATAGCGATTACGCCTCCAAATCGGGCACCACCCCCATCAAGCCGGATGCGACCATATTAATGTGTCATTTTTTTGTAGGTGACTGTATCTTCCAGTGGGTTTTACGTGCTATAGGAAACAGACCTTTTTTATTACTATTGTTAAGCAAGATCTGAAAACACTTCTAAGCCTTGACAACAAGAGTAAATAGTTTTACTGTGTGAGTTTAAAAGAAACAGTATCTGAATCTGCTTTGTTCTGTTCTTTCCTAGCTTTTATGGTATGAAAAGTAAATAGAAATATTCAGTGTTTCAAGATCTGTGTAGAATGTGACTGAGAGCTTAGAAGTGCTCTTACCATTCTGTTAAAAGCCATCTAGAGTGGAATAAACATTGTTATTGTTCTGAACATGTTTCTGAGTTTGAAGACTAGATCAGGCCTGATTTAATGACTGTTGAGCTTGATTAAAAACAAACCGCTCAAAGGAGAACTAGTGTTTTTCTTCACAGACTTGCTACCTAGCAGTACATGAACAGTGGCATCGGTGAGCAAATCCTTGTGTATGATTACTTACTTTCCAGAAGTAAGTCTCCAAGTAACATTTTGTTTGTTTATTGGGTTTTTTTAAAGAGTAATTAATCTTTCCTTCTCATCAAAACAAACATAACCTATAAAAGTCTAGTTTTACTAATGCATCTGGCCATTTTAAAGGAAAAACAAGTGTTCTTTATTTTAAAAAAAACTTTAAAATTTTAAACCGATGTTAGATGCACATCTAGCGGTCTCTTGGGTTATTGGCATAACTATTGATACAAGCAGCCAAAGATTCCTTTTTGTGCCAGGTACCAGAACTAAGCAAGGAACCAGTCCCTCCTTTACTTTTAATGTTTCCATTATTTGGGCCTAGGCAAACAAATGAAAAAAAGTAATAGGGCTGGAGGGGCCTTTGTAAATGCCATATTTTTTGCCCTTTCTTGTGCTGCACTGGTGTGACTGTTTGCACAAGTGGGTTTTCTGGACACTTTAAAAGTCTTTCTGGCACATTAAAGTAAAACTCAGACGTAGTTTAGTTTGGCTTGCTGTGAATTAAAGTGTTGTGTCGATGGATTTGGTGCGTGCAAACAAAGACACTCAAAGACATGTAATGAGCCTTTGTCCACCAGATGGCACTCCAACTTTTTTGTAGTTCACCCCTTCAAATTGCTTCCACTTTTTTTCCTTGTGCTATTTGCTGGCTCAATGTTCCCACACAGCTGTGTGGCAGGTCATGTGGTGGGGCCCAGGCCAGGGGGCACAGTGCTGTACAGTCCTACTCTCCTGCAGTAATTAGTTTGAAAATCAAGTGTGTGCAAACACTGATGCAACTCTCCAAAATAAATGAGTTTACATTTTATAAACTTATTTAATTTAATGAGGATTAAACCTGTGGTGTGTATAGGTACCCTGGGAGATCACTAGTCTAATTTTCAAATTTGTCATTTAAAGTAGCTGCATGTCATGCTTCTGTTTCACTTGCTGTGATATTAGAGTGCACTTAATGAGTAAGATGGGCATGTTGCATATTTATGGCTGTCAGTTGTCATCCTAGAGGGTTCTAGTCTACCTTCTACGCAACATTCCCTGGTGATATTAGGCAAGTCACTTAACTGGAGCTCTTCGCAAGTGACTTAGATGGAGTATTTTCAGGGGAGGAGGGGTTCCCAACAAGGGCAGATTTGTGCTGAATTTCTGTAAGCATCTGATGATTTGAGCTTCAGTCCACAAAACCTTATGCTTCTTATTCTATTTAGTTAGTTTATAAGGTGTATATCAACCCTGCTTCTGTCTGGGACATACCTTCTGCAAAATGACTCACAGTTGCCCTCAGGATCTCAAGTTGGGTACCCAAATTTAATAGACTATTTTTTCATCAATTTCTGTGTTCTTTTATCCTGTCAGTAAAATGGGGATTATACCACGTCTTCTCCCATGGTTCTTCAAACACTCAGTACCAGCATCAAAAGCCCAGAAAAGACTTAATTTTCTATTTACATGGTGTATTAAAGCTTGACCTGTGTGGTGAATAGTGCTCATTCAATGAGCATTGGCCATCCAGTCTATAAAAGGATGAGGCTGGGGGTATGGCATAACAGTACATTTGTTAAACTCTTAATACATAGTTGCATACAGACATACATTATAATACTAATGCTTGCAACTCACTCATTTCTGAGGTCTTGACTTTGGCAAGCTTAATAGTAATAATTTTTTAAAATAAAATTCAGGTAATGTTTGCAGAGGACAAGTAGAAACAGATAGCAGAGTAGGGGGTGGGGTGGGGTGGGCACTAACGCACATGGTTCATAGATGCTAGGGTTGGAAGGGACCTCAATGGATCATTGAGTCTGACCCCCAAAGATTGCAAGTCTGAGGCCACAGCAGAAGCACTCATGGCACAGCCATGTCACATTCTGAGGAACCTGAATTCTGCAAAATACCTTGTAACAAGGACACAGGAAGGAAGATGGCAGAGCTAGCAAACAATGGAGAGCTTACTTAGATGTAAAATGGAATGTTATGAGAAGAAATATAGTCTGGATTGTAGATCTAATTGATTTTGATGGCTCCGTGCTTGTCTTGCGTGTTTTGAACAAGCAGCTTTTGGCTATAGGCTTAGGAAGTGGTCAGTCTCTCTGAAGCATAGTTTCTCAGCCTGTGGTACGTGTACCCCTGGGGGTACATGAGACAGGCAGGGGGTATGTGAGTACCCCAACACTTTCACCCTCTTTTCCTCTCAAAACTATGGCAAAAAATGTGCAATTAAAAAAATGAAATTCCCCAGTAATAATTTGGTGTTCAGCCCCCCTAGCTTTGGCCAACATCACCTCTAGCTCAGGTACATACTTGAGTTGTGCACCCCTGGTGTAAAAGGTGGCAACCAGATCAGACATCTGTCATATCACGGCCTTATATACACAGCCCCTCTTCCAACATATGGCACAGTCTGTAAATATAAAATCCCCTGTAAAATTGAACATTGGGGTACTTATTAAAATTTTCAGAAGTTAGGGGGTGCTTGCTACTTAAAAGGTTGAGAAACACTGCTCTGAAGGACTAAAGTGACTGGCCTGATCCCAGACAAGCAGCAGTGGCTGTAAGGGATGCTTTCAGGCCACATCTTAAGAAATGTTAACAAAAAAAGAGAAACAATCCACTACCTTCATTCCTTGGCTCTGAACAGCAGCAGAAAAGTGGTAATGAATACAAGAGAAATGTACTTGTGGATATACCAAAAAAGTTATCCACCTAGAAAGGTAGCTAGCTGTGTTACTCTTAAGTTAGGCAGAGCAGGGTGGCACTTTTACAGAGTTTTATTGAAAAGATTGGGTGATGGCAGCATCCCCGTGATTATGTGAAGTTCAAAAAGAAAAGACAAAGGGAATCTTCCATTTTCAAAAGGGATGACACTGGTCTTCAACCTTTTTAGACCCAAGGAATCCCTTAGAAAACACCAGCTTCTATGTTTCAGTTGCTTTCTGAAAATGTTTTCATTTGGTATTCAGGGATGATGAGGAATTTTCCATGTCAATCTTTTTGTTCACAGACACAAGGGACCAGTGTCATCTGAAGGCCTTTCTCTAGTTTGGTATAGAGTTAGCTGCCCCATCTGCTTCCCAAATCTGTTGATCAATATGTGCCTCTCCATGCTGAGTCATTTACCAGTTTATCTTTTTCTCTCTTTCCTTCTTTCAGTTAGTTATTTCATCTTGCCCATCGTCACTGAGGAGGGGTGGATTTTCCTTTTGCCAGTGGTATTTCAGAGTCTTAATGACTCATTCTTCTTTCCTATCCTGGGAAAATTCCAAGGATTTTTCAGCTATATCACCATATACCTTTATGATGGCACTGTGTAAATGTGCAAGTGTGCATAAGTGTGTATGCAAGCACATGTAAACTGGGGTTCTGTGAGCCAGGAAACAATCTCTGGTTTCCTGTTATTTTAGGAAAACAGGTCTTCGTACATTCTTTGCAAATAAAGATTGGATCAGAGAAATACCTGACTCCATTAACTTCTCCTCATCACTGGAACAGTCCACAATACCCACACATTTTTAGCCATTTGGTTAAAAAATGTTAATAGTACCATTGCAATAAGAGATTTTAATGAGAGAGTATTCAGACAAGTTCTTTCTTTTGCTTCATAAAGAATTGAAAATTATTCTAGTAAAAGGTTTCGGAGCCTGGTATGTCAGAACAAATCAATGACAATAGCTCTGTTATTATTAAACAAAACAATACTTTAAAGTAATGTGATGGGTAAGACATAAATTGCTAAAAGCAGAAAGATACTAGTTTTACTGCTATTCCCCTGACTCAGCCAATGTCTAGACATTACAGCATATAAACTGGGTTAAAAAAATGTGCTGCAGTTTTTCTGACAGAATGTGACACTGGGCGGGTCTACAGATGCTATTAATGCACTATAGCAGTGGTTCTCAAACTGACAGACTGAGTACCACCAGTTTAAAATGATACAGCCTTAAGTACCACTAGCAAATTTTTCATATACGTAGGTAACAGACTATGTATTAAAACATCAAAACCTTTAGTAATCATAAAACGTTGTTTTATCAGTTACAGTAGCCATATATAGAACAATTGTAAATTGGAAAAAAGACAGTGTAAAGCAGGGCTAGGCAACATTTTTGGCCAGAGAACCAAAGAACTGCAAGGTGTACCTTGTAAGGTGCCGGGGTGCCAGCACACCAGAATAACAAAACGGGGTGGGGGGAGTACATGGCAGGACACATTGCATATTAATATACTTAACAATCATAAATGTTGCTTTTTTTCTTTTTTTTTCCCCCCACAGTAAATAGGTTTTCTACAAATTCTAAACCTGGTGACAATAAATACTTCATATACTACCTTTGTTCTTGTGTATTCTTTATTGTTAAGCATGTTGTGATGAGAGGTGGGGAAGAGAAG